ATCCCGGTCATTCCGACTTTTATACTGCGTGCAAAGGAAAGACGGGTGTGTGCAAAGTTTCAAGTCGATAGCTTTAAAACTAAGAGACTAGTTTGCGTAGAAACTGACAGTCAAACAGACAGACGGACATGCTCATATAAATCAGGAGGTAATCCTGATGAAGAATATATATACTTTTTAGGGTCGGAGATGTCTCCTTCACTGCGTTGCACACTTTTGACCAAAATTATAATACCCTCTGCAAGGGTATAAAAATTTCGCTCTCCTATCTATATTTTTTATGGAGAAAACTTTTTGCAACTTGAAATTTGAAAGTTCTCACACTGTCAGTGTGCCGGCAGTGCTGCAGCAGAATTTCATGCGCATGCTATCGAAAATGAGAGTTTGCCCCCCACTGATCTAGACCCAGTATCGCAGGATATAACTGCTTTCACTATCCCTTGCCTTAGACTATAAAACAATGGCCCAAGTCGAAAACGCAGAAAGCTTTAAAAAATCAAGTCCATACAATAAACAATCTCCAGTATCTATTGCATCGCAGAATCACTGTTAAAGATTAATAAAAGCAATGACGTTTGCCAGGAATACTAGGAAGGTTGCATACTTCTGGTAAGTGAATAACTTCGTAGGAGATCACAGCAACGGTGGCCAACGGTGTTTAACGGCACAAACATGAGCTGGCCTAATTTTTCAATAACAAATAAATCGACGTAACTTAACTTGCAGAAACCCAACTTACCAAAAAATAATATTCCTTAATCCAAGAATATATATTTTTCAACAACACGTTTGCTACCAACTACCTGTAAGCCACATCTATCAATATACAGTTGGGTTGTCACAATCTAGCTATAGCATAAGTATACTGTATACCGGTATACTTTTCGATTCACGATATCTAGGCAAATAGGGGATCTTCGTGACGCCGAAAGGAAGACAACTCTATTACTCAATTATAAAACATAGAAATAAACTTGACTGCGTTTCCCCTAGTTCACCTACACACTGGCGTATTGACCTTAGGAAACTGCCAGAGTTGATTTACTTCTCAGTTACATAAAACATCCCATGAAATCTGATAAGCACCAGTTCTCTCTCGGATATTTCATAACCCCTGCAGGCTGATGGGCGAAGCGACAAAGGCAGAGCCAACACATTCGCTGCTCACCTTTAAACTGTGTTCCAGCCAAATCCAGTAACAAACGCGCGTAATATAATATCAAAAACAAAAGACGACTTTCTTATTGCAAAACCAATTGTGTTTCGGCCATTCGAAGTCACACCAAGTGCTGTTAGTACAATATGCATGCATAGGCAAAGAGGTGGAAATAGTCAATCATTATATTGATACCAAAACCTGGAAACGACTACACGCTCACCTCCTCATACAGCCTATAAGTTTAGTTTCGTGTCTATCAAAACTCTTTGCAATATGCCAAACCGTATCATACCAAACTTCAGAAGACATAATATTTAGTATCCCAGCACTTTAATTCGACTTTCGCGAAAAACATGGACTAACGAACATGTGAACCGCATAACATCAAAAATTCGAAGTGCATTTGAAAATAGGGAATACTGCACTGGGGTATTTTTGGACGTCTCTCAAGGATTCAACAGAGTATGGCTTTGCGACTTATTGCATAAAATGCAATAAATGCTCCCTAATAACAGGCATAAACTCTTAAAGTAATATCTTTACAATAGGATATTTGTTGTAAGATTCAATACTTCCATGTCAGCTGAAAATAGCATCGAAGTTGGAGTTCCTCAAGGCAGCGTTCTCGGGCCAACTTTATATCTACTCTACACTTCTGATATCCCTTCGATATCCCTTCTACGTTTGCCGATGACACCGTGACCCTGAGCCGATCTTAATGTCCACAACAAGCTTCAGCGCAACTTGCGACCCATCTAGATGCAATAGAGAAATGGCTCTCAAGTCAATCAAGTAGCCTTTACCTTAAAAGTAACCTTTACTAAGCAACACAATGCCTGTGCTTTTAACGCTTCTTCCAAGCCCATAAATAACCGAACACCTCTTCAGCCTGGCGTCGCCGAAAACGCACGGTCTTAAATACAAAAAGTACTGGAGTGCCCGCATCAAACTCTCCCCGGAGCTTAATGTGGAATTGGACATCGACTATACTACGAGCGCCCTGGAAAAAGTACTCGTTGCGGCAGCTAAAATCTATACTCCTCAATGGAAGACAGTAGACCGAAACAAATACTAAAAATCAAATCAGCAAATCGAACAAGAGAAATATGGCTGGGCTCGCAGCAACGAAAACGGAGCTGGTCCATTCGCTACATATCTCCAAAGGGTCTTCCAGTCAAATCCTGCCTCGAAGTCATTCCTTCTGACATTAATTCAGACAAAAGTTACGCCTCTGCCAACTAAACTCGCCTTCCGGGCGAACGAAATCGAAAAAGTCACTAGGGAGTTAAAACCAAAAAAGGCTCTGGGTGATATCCTACTGCCGTTAAAGATGTTGATTGAACTTTCGAAATGCGCAGGTAGTCTGTAAACTTTTTAATGCGATCACTAATCTTGGCTATTCCCCAAAAGTGGAAAAAATCTATTAACATAATGATACCGAAACCTGGAAATGACACAATTCCGACATCGTCTTGTTTGTCTAAATTGTTTGAAAAATGCTTCTTAACTCACATATCTGAAAGCTTGCAATATTATCCCGGCACAGAAATTTGGCTTTCGAAGAAAACATGAAACCATTGAGCAAGTGAACAGACTAACATCCGAAATACGCTCAGGCTTCGAACAGCGAGAATACTGTAGCGCTATTTTCCTCGACGTATCTCAAGCTTTCGACCGAGTTTGGCTTAATGAACTCATGCACAAAACTTAAACGTATTTGCCAACATACACCCACAAGCCACTGGAATTATGCCTCTACAATAGGATTTTCTCAGTGAGATGCAACAAAGCTGAAGTTCCTAATGAAATATTTAAAAATTTTTTATTCGGCGGATGTTCCTACGAAAACATCCTACTGCTATCCTTGGTCGCTCCAGATGCCCAACCCAAGCAAAAAACAAACTCGCTAGTCATCTCATAGAAGTAGAAAGGTGGCTGGCCGACTGACACATTAAAATAACCAAACAAAAGTGAAAAGACGTTTACTCTTAATAGAAAAAACATGCCCTCAATCAACGGTATGCAGATCCCTCACGCAGATCCCTATGCAGAAAACTATTACTGGGGCACCTTGGTATGTTCGCAACGAAAACATCCACCGGGATCGGGGCATCCTTGCAGTGAACGACGAAGTCCAAAAGTTCCAGTTCTTTGTGCGAAGGATTTAATAGGGGTGAAGAATAACTTAGTTTGTTATCAATCATTAATGATAGGACAAGGACAAATGTTTTTGGGTATAAAAATTAATTCTATTAATGTCCTTTAGAGTAAATTGACTCCTACTGTTATATTTGGTGGAATATGTTCCTTTAATATAGATACAAAGTTTTCTGGAGTGTCATACTCTATTATACGGTAGTATTTCCGAATACATTAATTGAATTATGTATTCTTTACCTCCCAATTACCTCCCAGTTCGTTAAACTGGTTTAAAAGGTTTTGGGTTTCGTGTATTACATTCTCAAAACAACACTCTGCTTCGCTACTTTCCGATTCGCTACTTTCTGTTAAGATGTTTATTTGCATCTGTTTGAGATTTTTCAATGACAATCCGCTTCAAGTAATTTTCTGTTTCTATTTTTCTATGTTGCGTTGTTTCTCACAATGTGGTCAAAACCGATCCCAAAAAAATGTCTACAATTAAAAAATATCTAATCCCTAAAAATCTTCGATAGATTAGAAGCTTACTTAGAAACTTACAAACGTTTTTCATCCAACATTATTTGTGGGGTCAGGCAGCAGCCGCTGAATTAGTTTATAGTTTATTTATTATGCCTAGTTGGTCGCAAGCCCACTCGTTTTTCAGCCGATCTCAATTTGATCGTCCAGTTTTATCTGGTTGCAGAAAATAAAAAATATAAAGCGGATTTACAATTTGTTGCACTAAACGTCCTACATTTAACGTTGATTTTTTTGATAACGCCTCATGGTTGTTTTAGAGACGGCAGAAATAAGTTTTTCCACCTTTGTTTTTATATATATTTTTTTATACGCCTTTCTTATACACGAATAATCGCTCATGAATTGTCCTCCTTGTTTTTCCTCTTGTTGCTTTTTGATCCAGGTTTGAACCTTCCTTCTTTTAGCCTATAGATTGTATTTTTTAGTCATCTTCCTTCTTTAATGGTTTTTATTTGAGTATTAAAGGGGGAGAATTTCATTATTTATTTTCTACCTTAGTTTTTTTTTTAAATTAAAAAAAAAGAAATTTTACATTTATTTTTTACTTTTGTTCATTCACTATTACAAAAATGTGTCGAACTTTAATTCACTGCTCTTTGGTTTTGTCGATTTATTTTACTTCTCGATGAGGTTATCCAAAGTGACTGCCCGACTCTAATTTAACGATCAATAAAACAGTGCGACAGTGATTTGTAACTTTTGAAGAAACCTAGTAGAAATTGTTTATTAAGTCGAATATAGTACAAAACCGTGTTTGAAATATTTCTAACACCCTCAAAATCCTAATGAAATTAATGAATGAAATTATGAAATTAGTCTCGTTTTATTCAGGATTAATGAGACAATATTGATATGTTTCAAAAATAATACCGTTTCTTAAAAGTTGAATCCCCTGTATCCAATTTTCGCAATGTATATTCGATCTAAACTGCAAGAGTCTATCAACTTCGGCTCCGCCCAAAGCTAGCTTTTCTTTAATGTTAAGACTTACTTATCCTTTATTAGTCGTACTAATTAAATATAAATAGATAATATAGAGTCTATGAATTAGTATAACACTACATTTTTTATTTAACTATTTGAATATATTATTTTTTTAAATAACTATAATACTAACGTGCAAAACTTAATTTAAATATTTATATTTGAATATTTTTAGCTACTTGGACGACACCCATCATGCGTAAATCATCAGCTACATAAAAAAAAGCGTCACGTATTCATCAACGGACTTTAACATACAAATTGTTCTTAAATTTAGAAACGAAATTCTAGATTTCTAAAAACAATCGGCTACGATGTATGACAAAACCAAAATATATTAACACCTTTTTAAGTGAAAGTAGCTTAACCACATTTTAAGCATATTTATTAATGATGTTTGCATTTAAAATTTATTTTAAAAATAAATTATTGTATCCCATAAATACTATTATGCTGACAGGATGTCAAAAAGTTTCTTAGTGAATTATCAAAACCCATATGTAATTGAACTATTATAAACCAGTGCAATGAAGTTTTCTTTAAACTTGTTCTTTGACGCATTGAACTTTGACATTTTTATTTTTTTCATTAAATATTTTTATGTTATTAAAATTAAGTAGATGATTGTTTGATCAGTGATGTTTTACAATGACAAACCACTCCAAAATAAAGTGTCGAATTAAATAATTAAAACGTTTTAATTTATTTATTCTGCGGACAGAACAAACTGAATGATCCGAAGTTAGACCAGTTTATGGTGCTAAGCCGAAGATAGGTCAGAGATATCTTCTTCACTGCGTTGCACACTTTTCAATAATGTACGAGGTGTGTCTAAAAAGTAAGGTGACTTTTTATTTTTAAGAAAAACTATTAATTTATTTATCAATATTCATGTTGTCGCCTTAAAAGTAATATCCTTCAGATACAATACACTTATGCCAACGGTTTTTCCAATCCTCAAAGCACTTTCCATAATCACTTTTCGGTATAGCCTTTAGCTCTTCCAGCAATGCAGTCTTTTTCCGGTCTTGGCTCACCTGGGTTCCTGAAAAAAATAAAAATTCGGTCATGAGAAACTCTCATAGGGATTAGCCAAATATTTAACTATCCTAGTTGCCAGAGTTGATAGGCTTTGCCCAAAGTAAGCTTTAATTTCTTTTTTTTGTAGGAAATATTATTTTTGTTCTAATGTTCCAAAATACCTTCCGAATTAGCCCGATAGTTTAGTTATGTATGTTTATTTTAGATGTAAGCTAATATAAACAATCAGTCGCGAACGATCCAGAATCAGAGGTGGCGTCAAAAATATAAATGCAAGCGCGGCTTAGTGCGTTACAAAGATAAAAGGGTCCACCAGGTGGCCGGCATCGATTAAATTGGCAAGGGACAATGAGAGCGCAGGTCGAAAGTGCAGCAATTGAATGTGGCGTCGGTTAGCTTTGCCAAGCTTGGTCTGAGTTGCCCGAATTATAGACGGCTGCAAGAATAGACATCCCTCCCCCCTTGGAAATACATAAAGATTTTCAATGTCTTTCCGAAGGGGAATCAGGGACAGCTCATTAGCTGACAAGCTTAGCGGCGATTAGCGGCGAGCTTAGAACCTCCGACGATTGAAGTTCGAAAAGACACCTGAGCTGATCACCGCCGCCAAAAACAATTCAACAGTGATGTGTGCTCTGTAACATCGGCATAACAAGGCCCAAAAGAATTTATGTTAGGCTGTTATTAATATGCTGCAGCTATCTCGAGGTAATTATGTTCATCTGAGAGCCGAAATTGAGAAGCCGATCCTCCGTTTTAACCGATCCTTTCGGACAATTTTGTCGCCTGTGGAAATTTGGAAACAGAAAATAGTTTATTACATTGAGGTCAGCCCTGCATATGCGGAGAGTTGGGAACTGCAGCCAACTTATTCAAAAAGCAACGCTCGAAAGTTCTGGAATATAAAATGCCAACACGAGCCAAGTTTCTTTCTTTTCATACACATTGCCTCATACCGTACGATTGGGAATTTGCCTTACGCGTACTTTTTTTACGCGTGCACTTTTTACGCGTACAATTGAAAAGAAACAATTGTAGGATAGTAACTTGGTGGTTAAACTTAACCATACTGCACACGTGATACTATCCCTGAGTAGTAGGAGTGCGAGCAATTAAGCATTTCATCCTGCCCAGTGCCTGAATAGGTATGATCGCCTACAGGAATTCGCTGTGTCAAGTTTTCGAATGGAAAATAACCCAATTTTCAATTTAGATACAGGAATAAAGCTGTGTAATATTGTATTGTGAATTAGTTAAATGGATGGATTTATCGGCATTCAAATATTGGTTTGGTTGATGCATAAATAAATAATCTAATCTTCCATCCAGTTGCTCACACGAGTCGAGGAAAAATAATGTAACCGAATTGATAAGCCATATTTAATCAGGCACCTATTAAGTTTTTATTAGTATTGTACTATTATGTATTAGTATGTACGTTTTTTTTTATAAACATGTAAGGATTTATCCGTTGGCGAAATAAATAAATAAAGCATAGAGTATGGAAAGCCTCTTTGCGCGGATGGACTGCGTGTAATTGTTTCTAACCCAAACATTAGATTTGTTAAGATGTGCTATCAATAATAAGTGCCCAGAAAACAAAAAATAATTAATAATAACCACCCGCGCAAAGGATGCCATTTCTGACAAAATCTCGTTCCTTGAGTATTAGTTCACTTACTTAAATCATACAACATTCAGTTTCTTTCCTTATTTGGTTAACGTGGTTGATCAATATGTTTCTAAGTATTTTTATCGCCATTACGGTACTGGATTTATAAATAGGCCGCATAGGCCGCGACATAGGAGCGGCAGCGTTCTAGGGGCGGCAGAGGGCGGCCACATGCTAGGTCGAGTAAGCACGCAGTCAAGAGGAAAAGCAGACGCCATATTGCACGCACGCCGGATGACGCGAACCATAAACATTGAAGTGTGCAGAATTTGCGAGAACAAAAACGAGACAGCGTCAGAAAATTGGGTACAGTACGACGTTTGTGGGAGGTGGTACCCTTTCGAGAAAGACGGCGTAGAACACGAAATTGAGAGCAAGGATTGAAGCTGCGATTACTGGATAAACTCCTAACCTAACTACCTAACTACTTCCTAACCTAGTCCCAGACGTCATCAGCACTTTGAAAATGTTCTTCGGCAGACCCGAGCACATCCTAGAGAGAATGGTGGAAAAGGTGCGAAGACTGGCACCACTCAAAGACAGATTGGAGGCGTTAATAGAGTACGCGCTGGCAGTTCTGTCTGTGAACGAAACGTCTGTGCTACTATGGAGGCGTGTGAACTGAAGGCGCATCTCAACAATCCAATGCTAGTCAAGGAACTGGTAGATCAAGGCATGCAGTCAAGGCATGCAGTTATTGGCTGTACAAAATCGCAGAGGCAGCATCATTAGTGGTGGCGCCATCGTTATACAAAACGGTGCGAAAAACGGGCGCCGTTCATTCCCACAACAGTCGCTGCCCGGACAAGGGAGAGGCAGATGAGCGTGGACCAGCACTAGGACAAACACGATCGAACGCGATCCATACTGAAGCAGCTCAGCAGCAAGTTCAATTCAGGTGGGTAGCTTGCGGCGACCCGAGTCACAACCCAGCACAATGCCAGGTATTCTTGAACCTTGACGCGGAGCACAGGTGGCAGGTAATCAGAGCGGGTAAAGGCTGCTTCTGCTGCCTTAAGGTACACCGGAACAGATGTCGAACCGGGAACTGTGGAACTAATGGCTGTACAAGGAGACATCATAAGTAACTTTATACAGAATAAGTTTTTCCAACACAATCGGCCAAGACAGACCACAAAGTCACGTGAGTACGCATCGAGACAACAACCATGAAAGTCAGTTCTTTCGCATCATTCCTCAGTCATTCATCAGTCAAGCTGCATTACGGCAGCAGGCAAATTGAGATCTACGCTTTTCTAGATGAAGGATCATCCGTGGCCTTAGCAGATGCATCCGTATTCCAAAGACTGGGAATACAACGCCAGGCAGCGCCAATGTGTTTGCAGTGGACCGGAGAGACGACTCGATTCGAGAGTGGATCCGTAAAAGCATCCGTTCAAATCTCGGAAATGAACTGTGATAAGGTTAACTGGTTTAACAACGTCCAGACCGTTCAGAACCTAGCATTATCGAGACAGACAGTCAATATGAAAGAGCTATGCGCCAGATTCCAGCATTTGAGATACTTGCCGCTATAGTCCTACTCTGCCCAGCCGACTTTGATAATCGGAACAAATAACTGGCAGTCTCCCGCAAGATCCGCGAAGGAAAATGGAACAAGCCGGTAGCATCGAAGTGCCTGCTAGGATGGAGCATCGAAGGATCGGCGAACCCACAACGATCCATTTTCATGAACCACTGTGACTGCGACTGGCAAGAACTTCATGACGACATCAAGGAAAATTTTAACCTTGATGCACTCGTACCACGAAAGCTATACTCAGCTGAAGACAAGCTGGCATTGAAGATTCTAGAAAGCATCTGCCAAAAGAAGTCCAGAAAATATGAAGTTGAACTTCCGTGGCGCGGCGGCATCGACAAACTCCCTGAGAGCCGGGGTAACGCTCTGAAACGCCTTACCTACATGTAGAGAAAGGTCTCTCAGGAACCCGATCTGTACGAAAAGATTGACGCCCAAATCAGAAACTAAGCTATCCGAGCGAGAAACCAGCCGGGAGAACAGCCGTACATGGCATCTGCCGATATCACAGCCACACAAAAAAAATATTTTTTCCGGTCTGGAGGTCAGACCATGTTTACTATATGTTTTCGGGGTCGCTGAATCCGAATCCGAGGTCTAAAAAACTCCAGAATGTCAGGGTTACGACAAAACCTCGAAAACTTGATAAAATTTTTATTTTCCGAGTTCTGGGCTCAGATCATGTTTACCATATGTTTTTGGAGTCACTGAATCCGAATCAAGTTTTTTAGACCTCGGATTTAGGCTGGGATGAGGAGATGTTACAAGACTTTATCGAATAGACCAGTTTAATTTCTATATTAATAATTAACAATAAAAAAATAATGTATAAAAAGTTAAAAAACACTATACCTTGAACCACTGTGCCAAATAAGAAGCCTGGTGGATAAGGAGCTTTGGTGAGTGCGAAGGAAAATTGAAGATATAGAGATCAGACCTCTATTGCACACTAAAGAAAAAAACAAAAGAAGATTGGATATGAAATTAAATAAATTATTAATTCGCCTACAAATATACCACAGCACTCGCGAAGCGATACGGTTTAGGATAAACTGAAATTTCTCAAAGTTCTATTCTCAAGTTAGTAAACACCGGTTTACGGCAATATTTATAATGAACGCAGTGGGCACAAAAAAAAACACGACCGCTCGCTTCAATGGAAGGAAGAGAAGTTGATTATGTGCCCATCCTGCCCATTATGTGGTATTAAGCCAAATACACTTTTGAAAACGAAAAATATTGAGTCAATAAAATACGATCAAAGATTATAAAGTACATAGATCATCAGGGCCCAAAACGGTCAACTTTTTTCGTCGAGCTTGTTGGTGAGGGGGGAACGCACATGCATACGATTCTATT